CTGAAATGTACCACCGGGCTCAAGCCCCAGCCTCTGAACTCACCTATCCTGACTTTCTCAGGACATCCCCAAAATGAATCTTTGCATTTCTGTATTGTTTCCTATGGCCCACTGTCATGGCTTTAAACTACACATTCCATCTCATCACTTTGACCTGTTCATACTTTAAAACATACTTCAAATGACTCAATATCTATATTCATTCATGCTTATTCTGAACATACTCTCTTTGAAGCCATTGGTTCTCACCTCTCCTTTTCAACTGTCATGCTGCTACACACAAGAAATGTACATTCTGCCTCTTTTTCCAAGATGCCATGCTCACAGAACCCAGGCCAACTTCCAGACGAATGCACTAAAGGAGGTGCCTCACCCTTCAAGTGCTCTGGTTACTTCTTGATAATACTAAGGACTTTACCCACCCCAGAATTGCTATCACTTGTTCCCTCCTTGAAGATGGAAAGGAAATCTCCCTAGAATATGCAAGACCTATTTCTCTTCCACTCTCTACACCACTGGATTCTGAGCTTTTGACAGTGAAGGACTCACATTTCCCATATTCCATATTTATTTCCTCAAGTCAGTATGTTCACCAAAGTGGTCATTACAACAATAGGAAGGATCATTCTCTATCTAAGCAAGTATGAAGAAGATGAAATCCAAGATATTTGGGACTATAAGTAAAACTGGAACCAATAGTATTATCTAATAGCTTGGGTGGAGAAAGGAGAGGTGAGTTCAAAAGACTGGACATAGGAACAAGTAGAGAGAATTTGAAGGCATTGAGATGCTCTGTCACTTCCTGACCCATATCCAACATGAGGGTACTACTAATAAAGAAAGGAAGTTAGCCTAGTTTAAACTGTGAGGATTGCTGTTCATCCTTCATTCTCAAAGAGGACCAATGACATCATGAGGGTGAATTGGATTTAAGTGAGGCAGAGCTAGGCAAAATTGTCAGCCTCATAGTCTCTTCCAAAGTCATCAAAGATTAGGGGTAAGACAAAAGTCAAGATGACTGGCTGGGCAACAAATGTTTAATAGTTCCTTTTAGTGGTGGGATGTTGTGTAGTTTGCAGAACATTCTCATATCCATTATCTCATTTGATCTGCCTTATGTGGGTACTATAATCCCACCTTTGATATACTTAAAGATGAGACCTGTAGCCCTGCCAGGATATAAGGATCCCAGCTGAAGCCCTGGGAAATTGTACAGTTGCTTCCATTTCAGCAGAAGCTGCAGTTAGTTAGTATACAACAGCATTGTTGTTGTTTAATCGTTATACTGGCCTCATAATTTTGGCATCAAAGAGTAAACAAGTACAATGGAGGAAACAAAAAGAAGGCAGGATCTTCCAGCCAAAGAGGCAGTGAGGTCACTATGGTCTGAGTTTGGAGGTGCCTTCTGCTTCAAGTACACCTTTGTGTTCTGCTGCTAAACTAGTTATTCAGGAAGAATAGCCAGCAGCGTTTATTTCGTGTGTATTCCCTGACAATACATATGGTTTGTCTACAGAGGCAAGTTGCCCAAAGGTCCTGGCATGTAGAACATGAATGAGGAACTTAGTGATAATATGGTGCCCCAGGAGGCAGCTTTGCCATGTGCTTGAGCTGATATTTCTAAGGCCATACTCTTTCCCTCAGTGTATATACCAAGGCAGAAGTCACAGATACTATCCCATATGTGAGTACATGTGATGAGATGAAGAAAGGACTTTCAACATTGGTATTTGTAGGAAAAATAGTCAGAACCCAAATATTTAAAAGATTATATATTTGGAGTTGAGCTGTGACTATGAGCTAATTTAAAAAAAAAATCCCGGGTTTCATTAGGAAGGTTTCTGAAAGCAAAACAAAACAAACAAAAAAGCCTGAACTTACCCTTATAGTAAACTACACCATTTACATCCTGAATACTTTGATATAATTCTTGTCAACTTTTCCAAAATTAAATAACAGAGCTTGGAAAGATCCAGAATAAGTAAATAAATAATTAAGATGATGACGTATCTTCCATATGAGTATTACTATTCTCTGAAGTATTCATATGAAAGCTGTTCAGGGTTTTTTTTTATTAAATTTTATTTTATTTTTTTAATGATAAACGAAAACCTGGTTTCTTTGCCCCCCTCCCCAAATGAGAAAGAAAGAAAGAAAAACAAAACCCCTCTTACTAATATATATAGTTGAACAAAACAAAGCTTCTAATTGACCAAGTATATGGAAACTGTTAGAAAGAAGAGAGAAGATATCAAGTTTTTTTAAAATTATCAGTTCTACATATAGCATGAACTTGTTCACCAGACAGGTTTAAGGAGGATTTTAATAATCATATGATTAGCATCCTATACTGTTTTATCATTATTGATCAAATGATCACAAGATATTTACATATCCTTTCTCACATATCTTAATAACTATGACTTCATATCCCTTTCCTAGATTTAAAACAAACTACAATAGCTAAATCAGTGGAGGAGTTCTAGTCTACTAGTTCCTGTTTGGGGCAGGGGAGGTATCAACATAATACACAACTGAGGAAGAATGAGATCCCAGTGTTAACAGCATGCTTGAGATCAGAGGAATGTTAGTGGGGAAAAAGTATTTGGGAGTAGTTAGTAATGAAGAACAACACTGATGGATGAGTGTCTGAATGGCCAACTTTTGATGCTGTGCAGGTAGTTGCAAGAGTGTGTGAGAAAACACCCAGGTAAGGTTCAGAGGAGCTTAGCTGCAGGGGCTTAATGATTCTTTGCATTTCTGTATTGTTTTCTATGGCCCACAATGTCCATCTTCTTGGGAAAGGTAGTCAGAAGCTCATGTAGTATCTGTGTTCCTCTGGATTTCTGTGAGGGAGGGACCCTAGATGGGCACTGTGCTAAATCAGAATCTGGGAATCATTGTCAAACCTTGATGTTGGGTAGCATCCAAATTTGTACACCCTAGTAATTAGGGAATCCTTCAGTAAGACAATTCTTGCTAGGGGGATGAGGGTAAGGATGGGAAGTGAGAGGATATAATCTAAAAGCTTGACTAGGACATTGTCAGAAAGACTTGGGCACCACTAGAAGAGGTAAACTGCCAGTCAGAGGGCAAAGCTAAGAGAATCTGCTAAAAAAAAATTAGGGAGCCAAAAAATACAGGGAGTTCAAAAAAGCCAAGAAGGTTAACATTTTGTCTGAACTCTAGCTGCTTTCCAGAAGCTTAGGATTTTTTATTCTGAAAGCTTGCCTACTCCTTCCATGCTGACCCTAATGCCCCTGGATAGCCCTCACACTCCTCATTCCCAACTCTGGCTCATAATGCATGTATCAGAAAGCAGCTGGATCTCTCTTCAGTACCCCAGATCAATGGATTCAACTGACTATAGCCCTACTCATCAGCTGCTCTGCTGACTATTGATTCCTCTAGTTTTCTATAAGTAGGCATGTTGTTCTCTCTAGATGACTTTCAAAAGTCACATTTCCCCCTGTTGCCTTAAACTTTATATTTAGCCTTTTCTAGTCAGAATTTTCTACTAAAAGAATGCCTTTAGTGAAAGGGGAGAGTGGAATGAAGAGGAATGTTTTTATCCATATAATGATTTTCTTTTGAAATAAATTTTTTCTTTACTTCTTTTTTTTTTTTTACTTTTTTTTCCCTTTCTGTGATTTCCTCTACTATTTTAGACAAACCTTGGTTCTTCTACCTAGATGTCCTAATAAAAGAAACATAAACAGTGCAAAGACCTTTTGGGACTGGGGAAGCTGATTATCTGGTGTAAAGGGTTATTTTCTTAGGAAACTCCCTCAGCTCAGTAGCTCAGATCACTTTTCACAGGCTTCTTCTGAAAGGAAACCATTGTTGGGTAATCCCAGAGTGTTGTGAAGTGGTTTCCAAATTTGGAGCTGAATCAGTGAGGGAGAAAGATGAAAAAGCACTGGGGTCTACTATTGAAATACTATGAATTGCCTTCAGCGATTTATAAGAGGTTCTTTCGGGCTACAAGGGGAGAAAGGCTTACAAAGGTTTTTGTTTTAAGTTTTAACTGTTCAAGGCATGGCAAGAAATTAAAGAAAGATTTGTAGACACTTCAAAGACAAATGGGTATATTTCATGGAACATTAGCACAATGGAGAAATGCCAAGGAGACAAGAAAGCTAGTATAAGGCAGATTGTAGTCCAGTGGCCTTTAAAAAATGAAAATGAAGTTAAAACTCTAAAAATCACCAGTATACTGTAGTGATGTGTGTTTGTACATTTGAAATAGTCTAAGAAAAATTATTCTTAAAGTGAGGGAGTTAGAAATAAATATCCTTAAGATTTTGAAGTCAAAATCACAGAAGCAAATGATCATGGTGTCCTTTGGTCCCACTGTCATAACTAGAATACTGAGCTGAACGAACAATTGATTCATTATAATTGTGGTTTTCTTTGCTCTGTTGAACAAAATAATTTTTTTTAATATCAGGGTGATACTACTAGCATAATGAGAAAAAAACACGAAAAGCCCTAGATGCCTTCAAAAAAGAGAATAGGATAATCTTAGGTGGTTTACCTGCCTGATGATAAAGGGCTTGAAAAGATGATCTCTTCAAGGTTCCTTCTAGTTATATTATTCTCCCCTCAGGATTCATTATGTTCCTTTCTTATCATCTAAATGACTTTAATCTAAAATGTATTTGCTCTTTCATGTAACCTGTCACGTAGACCAATCAAAATGGAAAACAAAGCCATTGGATATTATTATGATGTATATTTTCATGTCATGGGAGAATAACTTTAAATCATTAACTTCCAGTCTGGAGAATCAAAGTGTTATTGATGTTTCAGGTTAAGCTCTAGGACTGGTTAATGCTCTCATGACTTCAGGACAGTATCACATGTAAATACTGCATTTGATGAAGTGACAGATTACTTGCTGCAAAAATCCATTGCTGAATTAACAGAACCAAAAGGTCATAAAACTGTCATAGTTAAATTTAATTTCCAAAAGTGATTCTAATAAAGAAGGCTCTTACATGCTCTTCTTCAAACTGGTCTCCAATAAAGGCCACAACACAGGGTTTAATGAGTCCTGATCCTAGGGCAATCAGGGAGAATCCTGACATAAAGAGGATCCTGCCAAGGAAAGATGAAGACTGTGTCAGTGATGGTCTTTCACGTTTCGTTAGTATGCTTAATATCAGTGTATTGACCCCTCTTTCCCATTTCTCATCCATGACAACCAAACAAAGTCCCTTTGGGGTCAAAAGGACAGTGACACAGATAGATTTCTCTTTGGAGAAACAATAGGGAAGGGCACTGGCTCATGAAGAACAAACTGAAGGGCTCATCAATCAGAAGGGGATTCTCTATTTCATTGAGAAAACACATGACTATTTTGGCCCCACTCCTCATTCCTTTGTCTCTCAAGTTCCCAAATAAACCCAACATGTCAGCTACTCAAATTCAGTATTTTTCCCCCATCTTCAATCTTCCATTTCCTATTCTTACTTTCCTTCAGTCATGAAAGGGCATATACTATATAACAAAACATTTCTAGTCCAAGTTGAAGTGAGGAGAAAGAATGAGCTCAACAGAAGAAACTTGGTAGGATGATTGAAAGATGAGTTACACAAGCCCATAGGGATGGGTCAGAGAAATCTACACAGAAGAAAAGAGTCTCTGAATAGAAAGGGACCTTAAAGACCATATAGTTAAGCACTCATTCAAGACAAAATTCCTCTCTAAAATAACCACCACAAATGACCACTCTATTCTTGGCTATATATGGGGATGGGGAACTCACTACTCATGAAGGTTCCTCATGTTTCACTTCTTAACAGTTCTAATGATTACAAAGGACTTCCTCATATTAAACTCAAATACACTTCCCTTCCCAATCTACCTAATGACCCTAGCTCTGCCCTTTGCGACCAAGGACAGAATAAGTCTAATCTCTTTCCTATATGACAACCCTTCAAATATTTGCAAATAATTTCTTTCTCTCTCCTAAGTCTTCTCTAATCCTGGCTAAATATCATCAACTTCTAAACTGTTCCTCATATTATATCATCTCATCATTATAGTTGCCCTTTCATGAATGTATTCCAACTTTTCATCGTCTCTCCTAAAATGTGATGCCCAGAACTGAACACAATACTCTAGAGATGGTTTGTCCTGTACAAAGCACTCCCTTACACTGAATACATCTATTACTGCAGCCTACGACTGAATTAACCTATTGGGTGACCACATAACACTGGTTTTCATGAGCTTGCAGTCCTTTGCATACAAATGTTGTCCAGCTTTGCCTCCCCCTATTCTGTACTCCCTTCTCACTTCATAGCTGAGTTTTTGAACTCAAGCACAGAACTTTATCTAAATCGCTACTAAATTTCATTTCGTTATATTTGGCCCATTGTCCCAACCTGGATATTCTTGAATCTTGATTGTGTCATCTAATGTTTATGTTTCCTTCTCATCTCAGTGTCATCAGCAAATGCAGGCAAGCATGACATTTACATCTTCATCCAAGTCATTGATTAAAAAAATGTTAAACAGAACAGAGCTAAGTATGGAGCCCTGCACTACACCAGCTTAACAGCACTCTTTTCATCAGCTCTGAGCCCACCTAGCTGTACTATCATCCAGTTCACATCTCTCCAATTCATCCACAAGGATATCATGAGAGACTGTGTGAAATGTCTCACTGAAATCCAGGCATATCAAATCTCCACATTCCCCTGATCTACCAGACTAGTTAACTTTGACAAAAAAGGAAATGTGTCTGGCACAGCTTGCCCTTGGTGAATTATGCTGTCTGATGGTGATTAAAGTTTTCTAAGCGCTCACAAATCTTCTCTATCATGATGCCTCTGGAGACTGGAGTCAAGCTAGCAAGTCTGTAATTTGTGGAATCCACCTTCTTCAACTTGCTGAAAATCAGCACATTCGCCAGACATTAGCCAGACTTCCAACATGAAGTTTCCCTCTTGGTCTCCACCATTTCTAAAAGCTCTTTCAATGCTTCCTTTTCTGATAGGTGGGTGCTACCATTCAATTCTTGCTTGAGACATCTACTAGTATACCAGCTTTCTCCCCACCAATAAAGGGAAGGGTAGTCCTCCTGGGGTTAGGGATGAGGGTTTCACAACCTTTTAAGGCCTTCAAAAATCCTCATAATTCCCTCTCCATTCCCCAGCCCTATCTCTCTTCCTTATCTTCCATTTCATAGTTCAGGACAGAAATGTGCTCCTATAAGTGAGGTAATTGGAGAAGAAAATAAGTGGATCAGTTGGTCACCTTTCCTGACCCAGGGGAAGACAGCAAAATTCAGAACTAAGAGTTAAAATAGAGGGAGAAGATGAAAAGAGAATAGGGACAGAAAAAGGGAATGGAGAAAGGGAGAGAAGTCTTGCTTTATGCCTATAGTGTCAAAGATTCATCAAGAGGTAAAGTAAAAAACTCAAGTGAGAATCTGCTAACTTATCCAGCTGCAGAGCTGAACTAAACAAGCAAGCAAATGCCTAAAACAGCCAGATATCTATAAACGCCGAAACAAGACCAACGTTCCTGAGATACCGTGAGAAGAGCTAGCTGTAGGGTGAGGTGGACATATGTTTAGATGACAATATCCATCCCAGGTCCCAGGGAATACTCACAGATGAATCAACTGTCCTCCCTTTATGGGCACTGAACTGAGTATTAGGATCATGTGACCCATCATACACAAAATGTGGCCGGTCACAATTGTGCTGTAGAGGAGGGAAAGGCAATGTTCAATTAAGCACTGGAAGCAGTTATCAGTGGGTGGCATAAGATTAACTAAATACTTAGTTGCCCTTACATATACAAAGAGTATAAAGAGTAGAAGGAAGAACGGCTGCCATTTTGATATTCACAAAATGCTTTACATACATTATTCTAATTTGATTTTCACAATAATCCTTTGAGGTTGGTGCTACCATTATCCTTATTCTACAGATGAGAAAATTAAGGCTTGGGGAAATTAAGTGGCTCACCCAATATCACACAAGTAATAAGTGTGTAAGGCCAGTTTCGGACCCAGGTCTTGATGAGCCCAAAGCCATTACTCTTAGCACTGTATCACACACACTAACTTTCCAAGGAAGGTCTGGAAACAGAAACTGCTGGAAAAGAATTTGAGGCAATTTGTATACATGTGGGAGTGTGCCCCTATCAATATCAATCCATCAAATTTCTGTAATCCTTGTGTTTGGAATGTGTGATGTGTGGGAAGTTCATTATCACAAAGCCAAATCACAACCATTTATAACTTAGATGAATCTCAGAGTGTCACCTGAGGCCAAAAGAGGTTGAGTAACTTGTCCATGGTCACACAGAGATTTGAACTCAGGACTTGGAAAGATAAATATAGAATCTAGAACCCCCTCAGGAGAATGCATACATTTAAACTAACCAGAAATTCATAAGGATTTCATACTAAAACAACTGAACTAACATTAACGTATTAAGGATATTGTGAGAAATCATCTCTCAATTAACCTGGTGCTAATTATGCAAACCTGCTCCTATTATCTGCTTGTGCCTGAGTGTCTGTTCATTAGCACTTTAACTAAGTTACCAGGAAAGGGGGTCTTAGTTAACTTGGTCAAAAGATTTGGTGATTTGGTGAGAGGTCTAAAGTTCATGGTTCTAATGAAGCATTGGCATTCTATGAACTGCATTTCTCCAGTCTCTTCACATGTATTTATAAAAGCATTCAGATGCTCTCATAAGGTCTAAGATTGCTGCTCTTGAGAACCCCAAGAGCCGGGAAGACAGCTGTGCACTGATCCAAAACCTCAACAAAACTTCCTGTTATAAGAGCAATATCACTGCAATAAATTTAGTGAATGTCGATGCAGCATCTCCAAACCCCATTGGGAAGAAAAAGAAAGAAATGAACTAGGAGCAGCATTAAATAATAGTAGCTGAGGAAAACAGAAAGAATCTGGCACCTGAAATCTCTGGGTCTCTTCCCACCCCTGGCTGATTTCTGGGTAGGGGATACCTTAGCAGTTATATTTCATCATCTGCTGTTTGATTTCCTCCTAAATGACTACAACCAGAGAGGCAGACTTTAGAAGGAGCCCTCATGTATCTTGGTACACTGGAGGGACCTGAATATTTTCAGGGCAAAAGGAAAGCTTCTGAACCTAAAACCCCCAAATCACAGACAACCTCACTTCCTTCCTGGTAAAAGAAGCCCAAGCAGCTTTGTCAATCCCACACAGTATTTCCTTGGACTTTTATCTTGGCGTAGTTGTAATCCACTTCATTTGCCATTTTGTTTCAAGATCTTGAGTCAAATATTATCTAATTTCCTAGGTTACATTTTCTGGGCTTATAGAAATGGAAGGCATTTCTTCCTTACTTGTAACTTCCCAACCAAGAGTCAGCAACAATAGCTCCTGTGATGCTGACTAAAAAGTTTAGGCCATTAAAGAGATGGTAAGTGGCAGTAGAGGTGTTTTCATTCCATTGGAGGAAGTAGACCATGTACAAGGTGATCACAGCTGGAGGAAAAAGACAAAGACAAAGCTATTCAACTTGTCTATGACACTATCCCCATATCAACCTTTCCCATTGAATGGCCAATACCAGAAGGGCAGCTAGGCGGTGCAATGGATAGAATGCTGGTCCTGGAGTCAGGAAGACCTGAGTTCAAATCCAACCTCAGACACTTACTAGCTGTGTGTCCCTGGGTAAGTCATTTAATCTGTTTACCTCAGTTTCCTCATCTGTCAAATGAGTTGGAGAAGGAAATGGCAAACCACTCCAGTATCTTTGCCAAGAAAGCCTCAAATGGGTTTAGGAAGAGTCAGACACAACTGAAACAACTCAACAACAAGGCCAATACCACCATATCATTAATTTCCCAAGCAAGAAACCCTGAAGAGATTGTCAATTTATTATTTCTCTTCACTCTCCCCATCCAGACGTGCTTTAACCTTACTGATGTTTTAAAATGTATCAATCAAAAAGCATTTATTAAGTACCAATTATGTGCCAAGTATTGTGCTAGACACTGTACAAAAGTGAGACAGCCCCTGCCCTCAAGGAGCTTATATTATATATCTTTCAAATCTACTCCTTCCTTTGAATTCTTGTAATCATAGATTTAATACAGAAGTTGTCAATCTTTCATAAGATTGGCATAAGTGGCATACAACATTATGCCACTTGTCCTTCTCTGCCAACATCCCTCTTTTTTCAATTGTTAATACTTTTAAGGTGTCTTCTTAGCTGCTCATTTTGAACATGTCAGTCATCCTCTTATGGTCCTTTGCTGAATTCCAATTTAAATATAGATGAGATCTGTAATCAGTGGTATTGGACATTCCATGAATTGCAGTAAGAGTGAAGAAGGTATTACAGGGTTTAACACTGGAAATGAAGATTTCATAAAACATGGTAGTCTATCTAGAAATTCTAAATGTCGCAATCAACTACTTTATGTGGATAATAAATGAGCTCAGTAAAATTGCAGGACACAACATTAACCCATAAAAATAAGCTAATAATAACCAAGATCAAGAAAACATAATAAAAAAACCTCTTTTGTGATAACAACAGAAAATAGTAAATTAACCTATCTGCCTCTTATAAAGTACCAACAATTAAATGAATATTTATGCTTGGGATTTGTGTAAGAAAGATAAAACTATAATGACCAAAATGAACAAGAACGTAAAAAACTAGAGAAAAATTCATTGTTTGTGGATGGACAAGATTAATAAAAGTAATAATACTCCATAAAGTAATTTACATAGCTAATGCAATATGAACCAAAATACCAATGGGACTTCTTTATACAACCAAATTAATTGAAATTTATATTAAAAATGGAAGAGTAAAAATACCAAGGGTCACACTGAGGGAAAAAGTAAATGAGGGTGGTCTCGCAATCTTAGATTTTAAAACATATTACAAAAGGGTTACCATAAAAAAAAACTTTATAGTATTGGAAGGTAAATAGACCAAACAGAGGAGTGGAATAGAACATTCATCCAAAAGTAGACAAAATATTATTGTTTGATAAAGCTATAGAAAATGAGGAGGGTTTATTATTTGGCCAATGAATTTGGGAAAATTATTTGGCAATATGGTAGAAAAGGGATTTAGAACCACATGTTAAACCATATGTCTCAGTGAATTCCAGCTGAATGAGAGATTTAAACATAAGATCTCAATTGTGGAGGGGAGATTATTTTTTCCAGTTTAACAAATAGAAGGAATTAATGGGGAACAAGATAAATGTGCTTTACTACAAAAATAAAAGTAGAAGCAGAAGTATGGAGGGTACACTAACTATGGTCATATAAAAGAAAAAGAGAATGTGAATTAATGGGCAAATAAAGAATCCTGATGAAGACTCAGGTGGAGAAAAATATGTTCTTCTATACGTTAAAATTAAGTAACTTCAATATAAATATCACAAAGCAAGGTGATTTGGTTGTTCCGGTGTTCAAGTTTTCCATAAAATGCTTAATTTTAAAAGATAAATAAAAGAAATGGGTTGGCCTAGATGACCATCTTGTCGTTTATGTCCTTCTAGTTCTAAAAAAGAAGGGGGAGCATGGTGGAGGGAGTGAAGCAGATTGTTTCAGTCTACCCTTTGAATTGCCAAGTGATTTCATTCTTCTCTGCTAACACTTCTTTTGTTTGGTTATTTGTCAAAAGGCATCTCATCACCCCTAACGCCCTATCCCATCCCTTCACTCTTTCCTCTCCAAATTATAAAGCAAATGTAGTTCCATAACATTCCAGATAACTGACTGAAACTTAGTTCCTTCTATTCCACTTTCAGACAGTTTTATTAATCCCTGTTAGGAGCTAAAGTCTTATATTAAAAGAAAGAAAAGCATTATAATACCTTTGGGGGATGGTATGAGGGTTTTCTAGTACAGATCAGTTTTCTTTGCATACCATAATCTAAAACAAACCTCTTTCATTCCATAATTCCAAAGCATTTTTTTAACGTTCCAAAGAAACTTTGAACAATCCACCCCAAAGTATTTCTTGGACAGGAGATAGCTACCCATAGGCTGGTATCTCCAGTTACTTTTAATCTACTTTTAAAAATAAGCCATTGGCAATAACTACTGCCTGGCCCAAGTCCTTAGAACATTTTGAAATGGCTGAAAAAGTTTTGAACTCCCTTCAGAAAGCTAAATGGGGATTTTGTTTGTTTGCTTGGTTTTTCCATTTCAGGCTCTCAAGTGACAAATGGGCATATTTTGAGCAACTCTGGCACAAAGTAGCTTGGTTTTTCTGTTTGGTATTCATGTATGTATCTGATCAATGTGATCAAGTTGCCACATGCCTTGAAAAACCCAGGGGAACTGAAAAAGATGGAATTTAACCTTCGTAAATCTGTGTTTTGTTTTGTTTTTTAAAAGAAGTTGCTTTTCAATAGACAGTGATAAATGGAGCAAGACCACAAGATTGCATATATGTTTAAAGGAAAAAAGTGAAGAAAAGAATGAGGGTGGAAAGGTTAAGTCACAATTGACTGAGAGATGTTGGTGTTTACATTCAGAATTCCTCTATTTTCAAGTTTCAGGCTTAAGTTTTAAGCAAGGAGAGAAGACTTGCCTTCCCTATCTTACTGCGTAAGTGTCGCTGGCTGTTTCTGCTCTAATTCTCATTATGCTGCATTTGTGTATAGTGTAAAATAACCCAGATAAGTGGGGCAGCTAGGTGGTACAGTGGATACAGTGCCAGGCCTGGAATTAGGATGACTCATATCCCTGAGTTCAAATCTAGACTCAGACACTTACTAACTGTGTGACCCTGGGCAAGTCACTTAACCCTGTTTGCCTCAATTTCCTCATCTATAAAACTGATCTAGGGAAAGAAATGGCAAACCACTCCAGTATCTTTGCCAATAAAATCCCAAATGGGGTCACGAAGAGTCAAACATGACTGTATTGACTAAACAAGAAATTGTCTTAATTCCGTAAAAGTTATTCTTAAAATAAAATAACCTGGAGATGATTGTTTCCATATAGTCAATCCTGGCCTTTCACTTCTACGCATCCAACCCCTGTCTCTACCCTTCTTAATAATTTAATTGTTGTTTTGTTGTTAAATCATGTCCAACTCTTTGTCACCCCTTTTGGGGTTTTCTTGGCAAAGGTACTGGAGTGATTTGCCATTTCCTTCTCCAGCTCATTTTACAGATGAGGAAATTGAGGCAAACATGGTTAAGTTACTTGCCCAGGGTCACACAACTAGAAAGTGTCTGAGGCTAGATTTGAACTTAGGAAGATGAGTCTTCCTGACTTCAGGCCTGGCATTCTATCCACTATACCACCTAGCTGCCCTGTAATTTCATTACCACTCCTAAAAAAACTGCAACAATAAAAAGTTTCAAAGCCTAGTGATAGTACTGATGTTTGGTCAGTGACATTATATTCATATATAAAGGACAGCCATATTTCTACTACAATGAACTCTCTCATATAAGGTTGTCATGGTTATTCTGGTACTAATAAAACCAAAATAAACGTCACTTTTTTTGGTCTAGAAGCAGTATGGTATAGTGGTGGAAAGAGTATTAGATTTGGTATTGGGGAGACGTGGCTAAGTGAGGCTGGGTTCAAAGGTGTAGTTAAAGGGGACAGCTAGATGGCACGGTGGATAGAGCACTGGCCTTGAAGTCAGAAGGACATGAGTTCAAATCCGGCCTCAGACCAAACACTTGACACTTACTAGCTGTGTGCCTCTGGGGAAGTCACTTAACCCCAATTGCTTACAAAAAAAAAAAAAAAGTATAGTTAAAGTCCTGCCTCTGACACAAACCAGCTGGTTGACTCAAAAGTTACCCAAAGGTCAAGATAGGTTCAGATCTTAGGTCTAGTGCAATGTTTACTCAATAATGATGATGATGATAATGATGATGACGATAGTAGCTTATATTTGTACGGCACTTTAAGATTTGCAAAGTACTTTACATATCTCAGTTGGTGCTTAAAGCAACTCTGGGGAGTAGATGCTATTATCCCCATTTTACAAATGGGGAAGCGGAGGCTCAGTGAGGTCAAGTGGTTTGCCTAAGGTCACACAGTTAATGAATGTCTGAGGACGGATTCAAGACAGGATCTTCTTGACTCCAAGTCCAAAGCTTTATCCTCCACCCCCTACTAGAGTCACTTTTAAAATGAAAGGGCTGAACTTAAATAGGCCCTAATGTGCCTTTCCGCTCTAAATCTATAATTCTTTTATTTCTTTTTTACGGGGAATTTGAGGTCGATCGGCAACTCAGCTGATACTTATTTTAGATTGTTGTCGTTTCACTTGCGAGTCAAGACATCAACAAGCGTTTGAGAGAGATTTGTACTGAGAGTTTAAGTGGATTGTTCAGGGTCACATAGCTCGTATGTGTCAGAGGCAGGTCCTTCTGACTGCAAGGCCATCCCTCTGTCTGGTATGTTGGGTTACCTCTTGGTACAGCTTTTTTTTTTTGGCTTCTGGTTTTACATTTTAGAACGTCATCATACATGTTGCTTTTCCTTATAGAATGCAAACTATTTGAGGGCAGGCACCGTTTTATGTTTTATTTTTCTTAATCAATGCTTGCTGGTTGATTGATACCAACTTTCCTGTCAGGGATGGGGATACTTAATTTAAGTCTTTTGAGATTTAGATTTCTCCAAATCTGTCTGGGCAAACCTAGACTTGACATGTTTGTATAATGATGCCTTTATTTGTTGGGAAGATTAGCATGTTCCTAAAGTGAATTTGCACACATTAATTTGTCCATAACTTATCAAAAGGGAGAAGGAAAGGAGGGGAAATGAATCCAAGGAATAGGGAATACTACAGAAGAAAAATGGAATGTCAATTTTATTCAAATGTGCACAATCTGATCTCTTTTAGGCCTTTTCCCTTCAAGCAAATTTGTTGTTGTTCAATTGTTTCAGTTGTATCTGACTCTTTGTGACCCCTTTTGTGGTTTTCTTGGCAAAGATACTGGAGTGATTTGCCATTTTTTTTTCTAGCTCATTTTACAAATGAGGAAACTGAGGCAAACAGGGTTAAATGACTTGCCTGGGCACTATACTAAGTATTTTACAATCATTATCTCATTTGATCCTCACAACAACCCTGGGAGGTAGGTGTTATTATTATCCTCATTTTACAGCTGAAGAAATTGAGACAAAAAGGGGTTAAGTGACTTGCCCAGGGTCACCCAGTTAGTAAATGTCTGAGGCTGGATTTAGAAAGCATATTGTGAAGTTGTTGTGCATCCAGCTGAATGTAGTCATTATGATGAAGGGACTAAAAACCATGCCATATGAGGAATAATACAAGGAACTAGGCATATTTAACTTGGAGAAGAGAATACTTAGAGGAAACATAATCTTTTATTCAAATATTTGAAGGGCTGTCATGTGGAAGACAGGTCCTCCTGACTCTAGGCTGGTGCTTTATCCACTGCACCACCTAGCTGCTGTGAACTATTTGGCACAGCTAATTGGCATAAGCTTCAAAAAAAACGTAAAGCCTAAGAGGTATTTGGCTCCTCAGTTGATGGAAGGAAGGCATAACCCCACAAAGAAGGAATATCCAGGTGGGAATGGAAGAGTTGGCCTATTACCAGAGGGGAAATGATAATAAAGAGGTTTTGAGTAAGGACCCTAGAATAGCCCATCTTTCCTTAATTGGAGTACCTGTTGTACCGCCAGTAGAGAAACGCTCACAGAACTCATTAATCAAGATGAAAACGATATTCAGCGGGTAGTTGGTGTCAGAGATTTTCTATAAAAAACAAAAGGACAAAAAGTGAGAGGTTGGGGGAAATTACAGATAATCCTTTCTTTTCACTTCAATACCTCTCTATTGACTATAGTCCTATGTTTCCAGCTGATTACAACACATCTCCACTTGGAAATCCTGGCATCGCTTCAAAGTCTGCCATGATTGATAAATGAGATTGTGATGGAATTTTTATAATACACCAGTTGATGTTTGTTTGTTTGTTTGTTTTTCCTTTTACAAAGGTGTTGGGTATGATGACTTCTCTGGGTAGCAGACATACGGAGGTAATAGTGAGGGTCTTCAGCTTTTATCTTCAATCCTATACCATCACAGAATCTTAGAGTTGGAAGGGCACTCAGAAGTCATGCAGAGCAGCTCATTCCTGAAAAGTAATCTCCAATTCAAAACCTCTAATTAATAGTCATCCAGGTATCATTTGAAGATCTCCAGTGCAGGGACTGCTACTGTCTCCCAGGGGAGTCCATTCCCCTTTCTAATTGTTAGGAGGTATTTTGCCTTATAGTAAGCTTAAATATGTAATTGTATATAGTTAATAATATAAAACTCATTAATTATACATAATTATTAAATATACAACTTATTAATATTTAAGCTTAAATCTGTCTCTGAGGGGGCAGCTAGGTGGCACAGTGTATAGAGCTCTGGCCTTGGAGTCAGGAGGACCTGAGTTCAAATCCAGTCTCAGACACATGACACTTACTAGCTGTGTGACCCTGGGCAAGTCACTTAACCCCAATTGCCTCACCAAAAAGAAAAAAAAAATCTGTCTCTGAAATGTCCACCCATTCCTTCTAGTTCAGTCCTCTGGGACCAAGCAAAATAAGTTTAATCTCTCTTCCACATGACAGCCTTTCAAATATTTGAATAAAAGGTCATGTTGCCTCTAAGTATTCTCTTCTCCAAGTTAAATAACCCCAGTTCCTTGTATTGTTTCTCACATAGCATGGTTTTTAGTCCCTTTAATCATACTGACTACATTCAGCTGGATGTACTCCAACTTGCAATAACCTTCCTAAAGTATGGCATCCAGAACTGAACACAGTACTCCAGATGTGGTCTGACCAGAGCAGAGTTCAGTGCAACTATCTTTTCCCTTCTTATGGATACCATACATCTCTGAATGCAGTCTGAAATTACATTGGGTTTGAGGTTTGTTTGGATGAAATGTCATACTTTGGGGGAGTTGTTTGTTTTTTTCTAATTAATTTTGATCTTGTAGTTCATGTACATGCCCAGCTTTTTTTTTTTTTTGCCACATCAAGTTGTCTAGCCATGAGTCCCCCATGACTCCCCCATACTGGATTTGGTCAGTTAATTTTTTTTAAAAAAAACAAAGTTTATACCCAAACTGTGCATACTCTTTGATGCAACTATTAGGTCTGTATCCTAAAGAGATCATAAAAAATTGGAAAGGACCTACATGTGCAAAAATATTTATAGCAGCTCTTTTTGTGGTGGCAAAGAATTGGAAATTGAGGAGATGCCCATCAGTTGGGGAATGACTGAACAAGTTGTGGTATATGAATGTAATAGAATGCTATTGTGCTATAAGAAATGATGAGCAGGTGGACTTCAGAAAAACCTGGAAAGACTTAAATGAACTGATATTGAGTGAAGTGAGTAGAACCAGGAGAACATTGTACACAGTAAAAGCAGCATTGTGTGATGATCAACTATGATAGACTTAGTTCTTCTCAACAATACAATGATCAAAGACAATTCCAAAAGTCTCATGATGGAAAATACTATCCATATCCAGAGAAAGAACTATGAAGTCTGAATGCAGATTGAAGCATACTATTTTCACTTTTTTTTTTGGTTCTTTTGTTGTTGTTTTTCATGGTTTTTCCCTTCTGCTCTGTTTCTTCTTTCATGACATGACTAATATGAAAATATGTAGCTCAAAAGAAATATGACCTGAACAAATTTAGAGAATCCCAAATGTTCACATGGGCTATTTGTGCCCGACCTGTGGTAGAGCATTTTGAGCTTGTATTGGTCTGATCAGCCACAGTCAGGTGCATTATAATTTGACTCTAACATAGCACTGTAATTTTAGTCCTCTTTGAGAACAAAGGACAGCAACCAATGTGGAAATATGTTTAACATGATTGCACATATATAACCTATATCAGATTGCTTGCCATCTTGGAGAGGGGCATGGGGAGGGATAGAGGAAGGGAGAAAAATTTGGAACTCAAAATCTTATAAAAAATGAATGTTGAAAACTATCTTTACATGTAATTGGAAAAAATAAAATATTATTTACAAAAAAAAAGTTGAATTCACAAAACATTAAATAATAACAATATGCAAGGCACAAGTCTAGTCATTCTGCACACAAATCAAAGTGAAAAGCGACAGTCTCTACTATTGGGGAGCTTACATCCTACTAGAAGGATGTAATATTTACACAAAGAAGTAAATGCAAGATAATCTGAGGAGGAAGAAAACACTTACAACCACGAGCATCAAGAAAGGCTTCCCACGGATGGAGGCACTAGAGGTAAGATTTAAAGGAAGAAGTAAACTTGAGAAAGGAGTATATTCCAGGCACAATGGACAGTCTGTGCAAAGGTAGAGGAGAGGAAGGGAACAAGCATTTATTAAGTACCTACTATGTGCATACTAAGTGTTTTTTACAAATATCTTATTTGATCCCTCACGATAACTAGGAGAGGTAGGTGTTATTATCATTTGCATTTTATAGTTGAGGAAACTAAGACAGACAAAGATTAAGTGACTTGTCCTGAGTCACACAGTTATTATCTGAGACTGTATTTAAACTCAGGTCATCCTGATTCCAAGGCCAGAGCTCTATTCACTGTGCTACCTAGCTCTGAGATGGAATATTAAGTTCAGAGAAGAAATAGGTTGCACTGGAAAATAGAGTCAATTAACAGAAATGTAGCATATATATATACGTGTGTGTGTGTGTGTGTGTGTGTATATATATATATATATATATACAATATTTTGCAATGGTATATACATATATATTTTTTAATGTGGTCACTTTATGTGGCCAAAAATCATATATATATATAGATAGATAGATAGATAGATATATGTAAGCATGTATGTATTTGTATATATATGTATATAAATTAAGTCTAGAAGCTGGAGTGAGAGTGTGAAGATCTTTAAATCCTATACAAAAGAGTTTATATTTTGTGTGGTTTGTCCTTCATTCTCAAAGAGGATCATGACATGAGGAAGATGATGCCATGATTTGCAAATGAATTGGATTTAAGTGAGGGAGGGCTGTGCAAAGTCACCAGCCTTACTCTCTCCTCTGGAGCCATGTGGGTCCAGTGGTAAGATATAGATCAGGATGACTGGAGATGGCCCCAGATGCAGTGGGAGACCTTGCCCTTTATAAGCTAAGGTCTTTCTCAGGTCTTAGTTTGTCTGAGGCAACACCCATTCAGTAGTTAAAGATTAGGTAAGAAATGAGGCAAAGAATGGCCTTTTTCAGTTGAGCCTTAATGAAAACTAAAGATTCTAGGAGCAGAAAGGAGGAGAATTAATTCCAAACATTGGAGCAAGAAATAGAATGTTGAATTTGGGGGGAAAAAAGGAAATAGGCTAGTTTGAATGTTGAGTACATGAAGAGGAATAATGTCAAGGAAGCCAGAAAAGGCAGCCTGGAGTCATAATGAGAAGGGCTTTAAATGCCAAGCAAAGGAATTTATATGTTATTCAAGAGCAATAGGGAGCCACTGAAAATTACTGAGAAGGGGAAGGGACATGGCCAGACTTGTGCTTTAGGAAGATTATTTTGTCAGCTGTGTGGATGATGAATTACAAAGGGGAAAATTGGAAGTTGGGGAATCCACGTAGGAGACTATTGCAATAGTGTAGTTAAGAGGTAATGCACTCTGATCTAAGATGGTGGCTCTGTTAAAGGAGAAAAGGGGACAGATATAACATATGTTGTGGAGATAGAATTAAAAAGATTTAGCAACTGACTTGATGTGGGGAATAAAGAAGGAGGAAAAGTTGAGGATGCTTCTGAGCTCATGAACCTGTGACCCCAACAGAAATAGGATAGTTTGAAGGAGGTGTGGGGTTTAGAATAGAATATAATGAGGTCCTTTCTAGACATGTTAAATTTGAGATTGTCCTGAGACATCTAGTTGGAAATATCTAATAATCGGTTGATAATGTAGAACTGGAGCTGAAGTGAAAGAAATCATAGATGGCTATAAAGACTTGGGAGTCATTGTCTTTCTTTTAATATTTTTTATTTCACTAAGTATTTACCAATTACATGTCAAAAAATTTTAACATTAATTTTTGAAAAATGTGAGTTCCAAATTCTCTCCTCCCTCAAGCCCCTCCCCACCCATTGAGAAAGCAAGTAAGCAATAGGATATTGATTATACATGTGAAGTCATGCCAAATATATTGCCATATTAGCCATGTTGCAAAAGAAAACACACACACACACACACACAATAAAGTAAAAAAAAATGCTTGAGCCTACACAAGAATTCACCAGTTCTTTCTCTGGAAGTGGATAGCATTTTTCATCATGGCTCCTTTGACATTATCCTGGATCATTGCCTTAATAAAAGTAGCTAAGTCTTTCACAGTTGATCAGCCTTACATACACAATATTGCTTACAATACTGCTGTTACTGTGCACAATGTTCTCCTGGTTCTGCTCATTTCACTTTGCATCAGTTCACATAAGTTTTCACAGGTTTTTCTGAGATCATCCTGCTCATCTTTTCTTATAGTACAATAGTATTCCATCACAATCATATACCACAACTTGTTCAGCCATCCCCCAATTGATGGACATCCCCTCAATTTTCAATTCTTTCCCACTACAAAAAGAGCTGTTATATTTCTAAACATACATGTCCTTTTCCCTTTTCTTTGATCTCTTTGGGATACAGATCTAGTAGTGATATTGCTGAGTTAAAAGATATGCAGAGTTTTATAGCCCTTTGGGCAGAGTTCCATATTGTTCTCCAGAATAGCTGGACCAGTTCACAACTCCACTAACAGTGCATTAATGCACTGTTTTTCCACATCCGCTCTAGCATTTGTCAGTTTCCTCTTCTGTCATGTTAGCCAATCTCAGAGATGTGAGGTAGTATCTCAGAGTTG